TCAGCAGGAACACGGCTGCAGGGTCCCCGTGAGAGGCTGGCGTCGCAATTCTTTCGCACCGGGCGTTTTTCGCATGCGTCGGGCACCGGGACCTGCACGGGCCGACCCAGCTCGAACAAAATGCTGCAGAAAGATGGGGTCGCGGGTTCCGGCCGTGATTTTTCAAGCTGCTGGGCCAATTTTTCCGCTACGCCAGATTTCAGGGAACCCGACGCTTTTTTCGATTTCGGCCTCCAGGGCCCGTTATCGGGCCCCGGGGCGATCAGCAAGTGTCAGCCACGCGCAAAGGGGGGTGGGGGGAGGGGGGAAGGCTTCTTAGAAACACTCCTGCTTCTTAGATGGCGTGGGCTTTGTTTGTAGATGTAAGGCTGGCGCCTTCTAAGAAGCAGCCTCCTGCTAAGGCCCTCCCCCCTCCCTTCACCCCCTTGTGCGCGCCGCCAAAAGTGATTGGGGACGCACAGTGGCACCCCGGGCATGAAAAACATCAGATCGGAGGATGTCTGAGTCCCTTTCCCCAGGGTTCCCTGCCGAGCCCGTTCGGCGTCTGGGCCCGCTCGGCCGCCGAATGGGCCGCCAAGTGGGTTCCATTCCGACAGGGCGGCGCGACGTTGGCAGCCAAAGTGGGTCAATCCCACGTCCTTTCGGCGGCCGAACGCGTTCTGGCGCCGAACGGGCTCGGAAGGGAACCCCAGGCAAGGCCACTCGAGAGGAGAGGCAGCAGGGGCGGGCCACTCCCCTCCCACCCGCTAGTGCTCGGGCGGGGTAGGACAGGGAGGAGTCGTTCCAGAGCGTCCGCGGCCGCGGCGCCCGATGCATCGTCCAGAGCCGCTGGACCTCAGAGATTCCCGATTTAGTATCCGTCCGATTGTAAGATCCCGGTCCTAGCCTCGTCTTCCCCCTGCACCCCAAGGGCACGGCCCATGAAGGGAAGAGGAGGAGGAGGAGGAGGAGGAGGAGGAGGAGGAGGAGGAGGAGGAGGAGGAGGAGGGGAGGAGGAGGAAGAGGAGGAGGAGGAGGAGGAGGAGGAGGAGGAGGAGGTGGAGGAGGAGGAGGAGGGGAAGAAGGGGGAGAAGGAGGGATAGAGGGGGAGGATGAGTGGGAGGGGGAGGAAGGTGTGACTTTGAAATATTTGGCATTGTGGGACCTCCCCGGTGTTCCTTTTCGCCATGCCTGGATTCGCCTCGAAATCCTGGTCTGAACGCGCTCCAGGACAGGTCGGGGGGGTCGACGTCGAAGATGGAGCAGGAGGAGGAGGAGGAGGAGGAGGAGGAGGAGGAGGAGGAGGAGGAGGAGCAGCACGGTGAGGATCTTGACATTGGGGCGCCGTGAGAGCATCAGGACTGCCAGAGTTGTCTGGATTGGTGCCTCCGCAGGCATTATTCAGATCGTCGGCGCCCACGCAAGGCCACCCACGGAGTGGGAGTCGCACGAATGTTAGGGTCGAGGTCTCTAGGGCCCACCGTGTTGAGCACACCAAGTCGCCGAATGGCAGGGTCGGGGCGTCGTGTCCCTGGCTCGGGCGGCCCCCCGGGGCCCTCAGGGACCGATCTGGCTCGAAGTGTCAGATCAGGCCTCAGGGTCTGGCTGCCCAGAGCATCCCCTCACCCAGGATCCCCCCTCTGAGCCCAGCTGGTTTCCAAGCTCACTCGCCAGCCGATGCGGCATGGGGTCGAGCCCGCGCGGCGGCGGGAGGGGCTCGGGCGCCAGCGGCAGCCAGAAGGGGCCCTTGGGGTCACGCGTCAGCGACAGGATCGGCTGCTGGTCAGAAGGCAAAGGCACCAGGAGCAGCAGGAGGATCGAGGGCGGCGGGGGGTGCTAGAGGTGCCCCTGGCCCAAGAATTCCCCAGCTTCTCGCTCCATTTGGGAGCCCCTGGGCCCCCTGGGCCTCGTGAGGGGTGCTCTGGAGGCCGGTGGGGGCCTCCTTGGAAATCCGGGGGGCACCTTGTGCCAGGGGCGCTTCGCAGCACCCGATCTTGAGGGGGAAGGGAGGGTGGGGTGGGGAGAGGAGGGGGCGGAGGGTGCAGCCCCGGTGGTGCGCGCAGGTGTCCAGCCGCACGGACTTCAGGGCAGAAACAGCTCCCAGCTGCGGACAACCATCCCTCCCCTCAACCCTCTCTCCATCCTCGCTCGCTTCCCGCTCCCTCTCCTGCCACGGACTCCGTGCACTGGGATCCCGCTGTGCCGAGTCCCTATTCGGGGCCAGGGCAAGCACGCAAGACACCAGGCGGTCCATGGTCCGTTGGCCGTCCTGGGGGGCAGGAAGTCCAGGAACCACCCAGCAGACTCCCCAGACCCCCAACACCATGATTTCATAACAGAGGTCTCGCTCGCCCCATTCCCCAGGACCAGTTGGACGGTCCCCAGGCTGGGTAGTTCAGGGTCCCCAGCCCCAGGGGCCGAAAATGGCGAGACACTTCCCGTCGCTATGTTGTAATCCTGGCTCGAGGGGCTCTGGGCCTCCGGACAAGAAGGCACATCTGTAACTGAGCGTGTCGCCCCCCCCCTTCCCCTATAGGCCTCCCGGATAGGGTCGGAGCAGATGGTCTCGGAGGATCGCGCCGCCTCGCCGATGCGTCGGCGATGCTGCTCGATGTGGAGCCCGGTGCTCCCCGCGCCGACGCTGCGGATGCACCGCTGACGCGTCGCCGAGTGCACCGGCGATGCATCGGCCATGCGTTGGCGAGGGCGGCCCCGTCCGGCGACGGGCAGCCCGCCCTCGTCGGGGGCGCCGCGCCGCGGCCTCGGAGCGCACCTCTCGTCGGGCGGAGGGGCGGTGCGCGAGGGTGGGCAGTGCGGGGGCGTCGGCGCGTGGGCGGCTCCCGCCCCCCGAAGCGCTGCCGATTCGGGGGAGCGGAAGCGAAGGGGCCCTGGGGCACAAAGAAGTAGACTTAAGTCGGGCGTGTCCCCCTACAGGGGGATTTTCGATGAAAAATACAAAATACCATAAACATAATCAAAAAATATATCAAAAATAGTACGGGGACTATTTTTTGAATATTTGTTTATCTTCTTGGGGCCTTTTTGGGGTATGTTTTATTGTTCGTAGAAAATCTTCCTGTAGGGGGACACGCCCGACATAAAAATAGGCACAAATAACATGATTTCCCGTAGTTCCCATATTTTCTGGGTTCTTGTCTTCCCCCCTACTTCCCATATGTTCTGGGGAATCGACGATATTTTCGGGGGAGCGTGAGACTTGAGAGTATACGCCGGACCTCGGGCTCGCCTATGCTTCAAGCAGTGGCGAGGCGTCCTGGCGGGCATAGGCCTACCAAGCAATGTTCTAAGAACCTTTTTGTGGTTTCCGCGAAGTGTTCTTAGAACGTTTCTGGCTGGGGCTGTCTTGTTTTAACTCTTCGGGCTTCTGTTCTAAGAGCACTGTTGTTGTTCTTAAAACATGTTTGGGATTTTTGTTTTATAGGAATGCCGGGACGGTCGGTCCCTGCTCAATACGCTCTTTGACGAGCCCAGGGTTCGTGGGATGTCTGCAGCAGGAGCTCGCGTCGAGTTTCAGAGTGGATCTCGCCATTTTCAGGATGGCCCCGTCAGGCCCACCCGAGTCCCCCGAGCCCGAGTCCCTTATGTCCCCCCGATGCTCACGAGCCTGCGAGCGGTCGCCAGGAAGGAAGCCCTCCGATCCAGGCGTGTCAGCTTTTGCACACCGGGCGGTCTCGCGGGGTTTCGGGCCTCTAGACCCTCGCAGATCGATCCCTCTCGCAAGCATGACGCAGGAAGACGGGGCCTAGGACTCTGGTCGTGATTCATCGCGATGTTGCGATTTGTTCGCAGCGTTGGATCTGAGGGAAGTGTGTCCTGAGGGAAACGGGCCCGGGGCTTTTCCGCCAGTTCCGGTATCCGGGGGCCCTCCACGGGCCCCGGCACCTTTCAGAAAACGACTCAGGATGAAGAGCTGGTCCTGGGGGAAGGCCCTGGGGCCAGGACCCGCTTCCCTCAGCACCCGTTTCTTTCATGCCAAGGCTCACCCCCCCTTGCACTCCATGCGAACCTGCGAGCGATCACCACTATCTGACTTGATGGCCCGTTGTGATTGTTAGACCTAAAGGAAAGGGTTTCCGACTCGCCTCGCACACCCTGCGTACCGCGCCTGCCAGGCCCCCAAGTGTCTTGGACCTCCCTGCGTATCCCGCCTCGCGCCGTCAACTGCACACCGCGGCCGCGAGGCCCCAAGGCAAAGTGATGCGCTGTCCCCCTCTCTGCCCTGTGGCCCCGGAAACCCCAGCAGTCCGACAACAGGGTTCCCGGGCTATCGCGAGGGGGCCGATCCGGGTCACCCGCGGGTGCGCTTGAAGATCGTTGCGTTTCCAGGCCCAGGCCTCCTTTTCCCCCTCCTCCTCCTCCTCCTCCGAAGAAGAAGACTGCATACACATAAGTTTCAGGAGACTTTTTGGAAATTGTGCTGGACCCACCTGTCAGTGCCTCTGGCGCCGCCCCTGGTGCGCTCCGCGCGCCAGAGGGGGGGTCCAGCGCCGATCCATGACGTCCGAGAGGAGCTCCGAAAGTTTCTGTTTACGCAGCTGTTTTTTTCATTCCTCTCAGTACACGAGCAACGAACAAACAGTCCACACGCTGAATTGAGAACCATCCTGGGCTCAGGATGGGGCTCGTGTTCTTTCGTGCCGCTCTTAATATCCAGGTCGGAACACCTGTTCGTGGCCGAGGCTCGCTGCTTCCAGGTAAGAACCCTCATTCCTTATTCAGCGCCCCCCATGGTAGCATTCTGGCTGCACCCTTGCCCATGCCCTCGCGGTCTGGACGCCGAGGCTCGGCCCCATGTGGGTGCGCCATCCCCTGGATGCGTCCTGCGCGGGGCATCCGCACACAGCCGCCCTGCGCCCATGCTGGTCGCGGCCGCGGGGCCTGGACCGCGAGGCTGCTGCCGAAGAAGGGTGGCAGCGCCAGGGCGCGAGGACACGACGCTCTCTGCGCTCCGCGCGGAGCGCGAGGTACGAAGCTGGCCCTGGCCTGGCGCTCCTCCTCAGGACCGGGGCGTGCACGCGAGAGACCAGGTGGCCGTCGTGCGCCTGCCCCCCGGCTGCACGGTGGCCTGGCAGGGCACCGGCGACGGCGAGGGAGGACCGGCGCTGGCGGCAGCAGTCGCCGCCGCCTGGTCGCCCGATGCCCTTGTGGCTGCGCTTAACGACGCGCTGCCAGGCGGCATGGCGGTGGCCACGCGGGGTCGGCCGAACGGTTGTGCGGCGGCCTTTCCCCAGGCCTTATCCCCTCGGAGGTGGGGACATCCATCGCTACCGCCCAGATGATCGGTCTCTGGGGCCCTCGGCAGGCGGTGGATATATGGATATGTGTTGGCCCCGTGGGGCCAACACACACGTATTCCTCTACCTATATTTTTGCAAGGCCGGGGGGGGGGGGGGGGGGGAAAACCAACCCCCCCCCCAAAACTGGACCCTGGGGATCTGGGGTTCTCGGGCTCCCTTGGACGTCCTTGGAAAAGGTCACCCGGCTTTCCCAGCAGACCCAGAGCGATCCGAGGGGTCATCAGAAAGGCTCAAGGGAGGCCCCAGACAGCACAAGAGCGCTCCAAGAGGGACTCCAATTGCGTCAGGACGGCCCGAAAGACCCCCATGGCACCCCAAAAAGCTTTCCAAGGGGCCTTCAAAGCACCAAAATCGTCCCATTCCTTTCGTAAAACTTACAATTTTAGCATATTCGCCTTTCGGATTTCATCAGCTTTCAAGACGGTTTCAAAGCCCCCGAGATCGCCTCCAGACGCCCCAAAAGGCCCCCAAGAAATCTTCAAGACGGCCGAGCCGGGCCCCATGATCGCCTACGAGAGCCCCAAGACAGCCCATAATGGAACCAAGAGGCCCCCCAAGGGCTCCCAGCACAGACCCAAAAGGGCCATGGGACGTCCCCGGAAGTGCCAAGATGGGTCCAAAGGGGGCTCCAGCGGGCCCAAGCTCCCCAAGACGGCCCAAGAAGGCACCAGGACGGCCCATGAAGGCCCCAAAACGGCCCACGAGGGCCCCGAAAACACCCCCACGATGTTTCCGAATGTCAACATAAAGACCCCCAAGGCACCCCAAAAAGCTTTCCAAGGGGCCTTCAAATCGTCCCATTCCCACCGTAAAATTTATTATTTTAGCAGAATCGCCTTTCAGATTTCATCAGCTTTCAAGATGGTTCCAAAGCCCCCGAGATCGCCTCAAGACGCCCCAAAAGGCCCCCAAGAAAGCTTCAGGACGGCCGAGCTGGGCCCCACGATCGCCCACGAGAGCCCCAAGACAGCTCATAATTGAACCAAGAGGCCTCCCAAGGGCTCCCAGCACAGACCCAAAAGGGCCATGGGACGTCCCCGGAAGTGCCCAAGATGGGTCCAAAGGGGGCTCCAGCGGGCCCAAGCTCCCCAAGACGGCCCAAGAAGGCCCCAGGACGGCCCATGAAGGCGCCAAACAGCCCACGAGGGCCCCGAAAACACCCCCACAATGTTTCCGAATGCCAACATAAAGACCCCCAAGGCACCCCAAAAAGCTTTCCAAGGGGCCTTCAAACTACAAAAATCGTTTCATTCCCTCGTAGAACTTATTATTTTAGCAGAATCGCCTTTCGGATTTCTTCAGCTTTCAAGACGGTTCCAAAGCCCCCGAGATCGCCTCAAGACGCTCCAAAAGGCCCCCAAGAAAGCTTTAAGACGGCCGAGCCGGGCCCCATGATCGCCCACGAGAGCCCCAAGACAGTTCATAATTGAACCAAGAGGCCCCCCAAGGGCTCCCAGCACAGACCCAAAAGGGCCATGGGACGTCCCCGGAAGTGCCCAAGATGGGTCCAAAGGGGGCTCCAGCGGGCCCAAGCTCCCCAAGACGGCCCAAGAAGGCCCCATGACGGCCCATGAAGGCGCCCAAACGGCCCACGAGGGCCCCGAAAACACCCCCACGATGTTTCCGAGTGCCAACATTCGTTGATTTTGCTCCCATGACATCTCACATTGTGACCCAGTCGTTGAGGGTCTCTTGGCATGCAGCGAAGGTGCCCGAGGATGCCCCGTACGAGTTGCATATGCATGTTCATACCCTTGCACACATATATTTATATGTACATATGTACGCTGTATACACACAACAATGTAAGCATATTGTATACACCTAGACATGTATACGGAACGTGCATGCACGTGCGCGTGTATACCTGCATGCGCGCATGTACGCACGCACGCATTCCACTTGCGCGCAGAACTCAAAGGATCAAGGTGCATGGCGCGCAGCGCCAATGCAGCCTTGTATGTATATATATATATACATATACATATATATGTGTATATACGCACATACATCCATTATCACACATATACCCGGATACACGTATATATACACAATTACACAGAAGCACACATACATACATATATATATGCACATACATCTATTAACACAAACACACGCGTATATATGTCCAGATCCAGATCCATATCCATATCCACCGCCCGCTGGGGTGCCAGGACATCGGCTCCCCGGGCGGTTCATATGGATATACCCCGCCTCGCACTCTCTGACGCAGGGAACAAAACACGACGGACGTGGTCTCCCAGGGCTTGCGAGGGCCCATCTCGGGGACCCTCAAAGAAACCGACCCCCCACGGCGAAGAACGAGTCCCCAGGCCTGGGGCCGAGAACCTTGGGGGCCGACTGCATGGAGAATGGCGCGACGTTGGAGTTCTGCGAAGTTCCCCCGGGTCGACAGGTCGGGGGTGTCGTATTTCACGAAGAAGCCTGCTTGTCCGTCCCGGCCCGTCCGCCCGCCCCACATACCGCGTCGGCATGGTTTCGAGTATCCCCCGAGTGCCCCGAGCATCCATCGCTACCGCCCAGATGATCGGTCTCTGGGGACCTCGGCAGGCGGTGGATCTATGGATATGTGTTGGCCCCGTGGGGCCAACACACACGTGTATATATATGTATATATATATATATATGCACATACATTCATCAACGCGCATATATCCACATACATACACACATACATATACACAAAGCACGTACTTATATACATATATATACACGTATGCACATACATCTGTTAACACAAAAACACACGCACACACATATATATACACCTATGTATGTATGTATGTATATATATAATTATGTGCATATATATATATATATGTGTGTCCAGATCCATATCCATGTCCACCGCCCGCTGGGGTGCCAGGACATCGGCTCCCCGGGCGGGCGGTGGATATGGATATACCCCGCCTCGCACTCTCTGACGCAGGGAACAAAACACGACGGACGTGGTCTCCCAGGGCTTGCGAGGGCCCATCTCGGGGACCCTCAAAGAAACAGACCCCCCACGGCGAAGAACGAGTCCCCTGGCCTGAGGCCGAGAACCTTGGGGCCAACTGCAAGGAGAATGGCGCGACGTTGGAGTTCTGCGAAGTTCCCCCGGGTCGACAGGTCGGGGGTGTCGCATTTCTCGAGGAAGCCCGCTTGTCCGTCCCGGCCCGTCCGCCCGCTCCGCATACCGCGTCGGCATGGCTTCGAGTATCCCCCGAGTGCCCCGGGCATCCCGCCCCTCGTGCTCGACGACTGACGGCAGAGCCGCCCAGCATGCTCCAGCGGCCGGGCCCCGTGTATCCCAGGGTCCCCGAGCACCTCGCGTGTCCCCAGACGTCGGACGGGGAACGTTCCATCGAAGAAGACGACAAACAAAAGCAGAAACATGAGCTTTCGGACGTCCTCGCGGCGTTCTTCGATCTGCGCTGGGCCCCCCTGGCGGCGCCTCCAGCGCCGCCCCTGGCGCGTCCCGCGCGCCAGGGAGGGTGGCCCAACGCCGATCCAAGAAATCCGCGCGAGGCTCCGAAAGTGCATTTGTATGATGTTGCTTCTTTTCTTTTCAAGCCAAAGATGTTGGAATGCATTTTTATCTATTCTGCATCCCGCGGTCGGGAATCGTTCAGGCTCGCGAGACGTATGCCTACAGTACCCTCTCCCGCGAGGACGCGAGGCCAACCCCGAAGCGGCATGGGCGTCCGCGTGCCGCTCACATGGCCCGCTCCAGAGAAGGCTTCGCCCTCGAGGATCGAAGGAGTTGACATCTCTTCCTCGGCGGAGGGGTGGCCAGACCACGGCGGAAGTGCAACGGAGGCGGTTCCGCCGGCGGAAGCCGGTTGAGGTAAACTTCGTCCCCCTAAGATTTGTCATGTTGTTTTGCTTTGTTCAGGGCTTTCGGAACGGGCCACCTTAGCGACGCCAGCAAGGCGGGTTCGATTGTGCGGACGTTCGCGCGCAAGTTGCCCGCGTAAGGTCGCGCGTAACCTCCCTCGTTTCCATTCCAATGTTGCGTGAGGCGCTGGCGGCCCACGTGAGCCATCGCGTGAGGTCGCCATGCCATCGCGCGCAAGACCCTTTTTTTTCCCGTCGCTCACATGGAGAAGCCCAGGTGGTCAGCGCGGCCCCGGCCTCCGACAAGCGCGTTGATTTTGCGGCAAAGCGGTACCGCTACCTCGTCCAGCAGCCCCCTGCCGGCTGCACCGCCGACTCGAGGCCGCGGCCCTCGTGGCGAGTCCAGGACGCGGGAGGGAAGGGCAAGTGAAGCTAAGACAATCAAGCCGAATGGTCACAGCACGTCGATTGCACTTCTTGTTTGTCAGCATCGGGCGAACGTTCCGTTCCCTGCGGGAAACCTCGGAGACAACATGGCTGTTGAGGACGTGCACGCAACAGGGTAATGGGAGCGTTGCCCCTGATTTGGGAGCATTGCCCCAGCACGCGTGCAAGAAGTCATATATAGAAAATGCATGGCCAGCCGCCTGGAGCGCAGCACGGCAGCCAACTCGCTCGGAGGTCGTGTCGCGGGCGGGGGGGCAGGGAGCAGGTCGGGGGCCCCGCGGCGGGGCCGACTGGCCGCGCGCGTGGTGGTTGCCCACGCCGCCCTGGGCCACGCCCGTCGCTGCATGTCTGCGGTCTGCGCGCTTCGATGCGAGCCCTCGAGGGGGGAGGCATGACGGCGGTCCGCCGGGCACTGCGCGGTCCCGCCCGCTCCTGGCCTCGTGCGGCCCTCGCGATCCCCGCGGCTCCGCAGGAGGCCTGGCCGTACGCCTGGTTCGTGCACGACCGCCTCGACGTGGGGCTCATGCGGGAGGCGCTCTCGCTCGCGGTCGGGGCCCACAGCTTCGGAGGATCGGGGGGAGCAACCGGAACGCAAAGGGCGCAGCGGCCCCGCCCTCCTCTGCTGCGAGAGGGGGGGGGGGGGGCGGTCGCGGCGGGGCCGGGGAGCGACGGCGAGGAGGGAGCAGCAGCGGGACCAGGAGACGTGGTGCGCGTGGTGTCGTTTTTGGCCTCCCGCGAGGCCTCGCGGCAGACACGAGCCGCAAGAGCACCGAGAGGGTGCTGCTGCAGGCCTCCATAGCAGAGGCCGCGGTGGCGCCAGGCCTCTTCGAGCTCCCCGGAGGGGGGGGGCCAGAGCGGCCCGCCTGGCCGCAGGAGGAGGGCCCCGAGTCAACGGTGCTGGTTGTGGAACTTGTCGGCGCCGGCTTTCTGAAGCACATCCCACGGGCGAAGCTCGCCGGCCTGTCCTCGGAGGAGGAAATGGTACCGATACCTGTACCCCACCCGTTTTCCCCTGTTTGGGCCTCCTGGGAGGCCCGCGTCGCCACCGCTGGATTCGCATCTCGAAATCCTGGGCAGAACTCACCCCCGGCCGGGAGTAGCGATATCGGTACCTTTTGACGCCCCCATTCCAGAGAGGGCCTCACCGACCTCGCGCTCCCCCGCCCCGGCCGAAGCCAACTCGCCTGTTCTATACGACGAGCCCAGCTCGCCTCGCATCTTGCGCCTCGTGACGCTTGCCGGCCAAGCTAGCAGGGGCCGGCAGACTCTTTCTCGAAGAAACTCTCCCCACCTCGGCCCGGATGCTCTCTCGCCCCCGCTTGGTGCCCACGGTGCCCCTCACGCCCTGCCCCCCCTCCCTCCCCCCGTCCTGGATCTCTCCGCCTTTCCCCTGAGAGTAGGGGCGCGCCCGCGGGAGGGGCGAGCTGCGGCGGCGGGCCCCTCCTGCCAGCTCCGGCCACGGCTTGCGGAAGCAGGCGTCCCTCAGGGCCCCCGCGACGGTGTCGTGATCACGCTGTGCAGGGCCCAGCTCGATCCCATCGATCCGCTGCGATGTCGAGCCCGGTGCGCCCGATCCGAGTCGATTCCGGTATGCCGACGATCCGATACAGCCCGATGCTTGCATGAATAGGGGGCCACACGCGAACCCTACCCCTACCCCCCACGATTTCTGAGGGGGAGGGTGGGGTTCACTTCGCTCGGGAGCTTCTGAACGAAATGAACCCCACCCTCCCCCTCAGAAATCATGGGGGGGTAGGGGTAGGGTTGGGCAAGCACCTCGGCCCGCCAGCGCTGACCCCCGTCGCGCTCGGCGAAGTCATACTCGGGAAGCTCGCCCGTTGAGCTCCGAAGTGCCTTTTCGGCTGCATACGTAGCATATCGTGCATATATATATGTGTGAAACGATATATATATATATACCTCAACATAACATGTACACGTATATATATATGTGAACTTATATATATATATGCAAAACGCAACATCATTGCACACACATATATATACGCTCACATATATATATACGTTCACATTTATATCTGCACTTATGTCATCGTTTGTACACGCATATATATAAAACTCAATATACGCATATAAATATATACGTTAATCATAACCATATAATATATATGCGTGTGTATATATATATATGCGTACACTCATGACTACATGTATCTTCACCATCTGCTCCTCTGGTTCGTGCGGCACCCCTTTTCAACCGACCCGCGTGCGTGGCAACGAGGCCGCTTCGCGGCAGGCGTGTCGAATGCCTGCATGATTAAATGCTGGGCATTGTCCCTATGGCGTCCATCCCGGGAAATGTTCGCTTCGCACTGCAGCGCCGCATGTGCAGGGGCGCGAAGAGGGAGAGAGAGACAGCGAGAGAGATATGCGGAGGAGGAGGAGGAGGAGGGAGGATGATGCTGAGGAGGGGGCGGATGAGGATGGGCATGGGGAGGGGGAGGATAAGGGGGAGGTGGGCGGAGGAGGAGGCGGAGGAGGAGGAGGAAAACTAAGATGATGAGGAGGAGCGTTTGTGTTTCCCATCTTCTCGGTTTGCAGCTGACCTACCAAGTGTCCACTTGGCTCGTTATCAGGGTGGTGGTGGCGGCCGCGCCGCCCAATCGTGCCCCGTGAGCCGCCCAATCCTCGCACCTCTTCCCGACGCCGTGTTGGTTCCGTGGGGGCATCATCCCCGCGCGCCCCTCTTCCCAGACGAGCCGCTTCTCGGCGGCGGGCGCGGGGGGGGGGAACGAGAAGGGGCGGGGCCTTCCGGTGCTTCTAAGAAGCCCGTCCGCCTTCTAAGAAGTTCTTCTGTCTTCGGAGAGGGCAGAGGAACCTTCTCAGAAGGCTTCAAGGCTTCTGAGAAGTCCCGCGGCCTTCAGAGAAGGCCTGCCCCTTCTCACTCCCCCCCCCCCCTCGGTCTTCCCGACGCGGTATCCGCGCCCTGTCCCGACGCCCTGCCCGGCGCTGCAATGGCCGACGGGCGGTTCCCCGCGATGAGCGTCTCCGAGCGCTTCCCAGGGGTGGCGGACTACAGCGAGATGATGGAGCGGATCTTCCGCGTGTACGCGTTGCCGCCGCCGCCACGCGGCGCTTCCTTGGCCTTCTACGACCAGCACGGTGCCCAGGCGCTGAGCCGTCACCCCAGCAACCGCCACGACACCGCGGGCGTCAGGACGTTCATCCGCTCCATCGAGGAGCTTGGCGTGGTGTGGCGTGGCACTGTCTATGTGGTTCGGGCGCCGCCCCACGCCGATCACTACATGTCGTTGAATGCGGCCACCCTCGTCGAGGCGCTTTACGCCGCCGACGGCCAGAACGCCAACGTCCAGGCGGCCCTGGCAGCGGGGCTCCCGCACTTCCGCGAGTTCCACGTGGATACGCCTCCTGATGTCCTCGCGTACATACAGGATGCGGCGAACGCCATGAGCCTTGGCGGCAGCGGGCCCCCGGACCGGGAGGACGACCGCCCATCGCCGGCCCATCGCTCCACGTGACGCCTCCTGCTGTCGTCGCGTACGCACAGGGCGCGGCGAACGCCATGAGCGGCGGCAGCGTGCCCCCGGACCGCGAGGCAGCAGGCGATAGTGGGAGCGATGCTGAGAGCCAGTAGGCTGCGTGAGGGAGTGATGAGGAGGAGCAGAAGACGGAGGATGAGGATGTGGATGAGGAGGAGGAGGATGAGGAGGAGGAGGATGAGGAGGAGGAGGAGGAGGGAATGAGGAGGAGCCTGATGATGAGGAGGCGACCCGCCGATAGAGCGGCTCGGCGCGAGCCCGCGCGGAGCAGATATCTGCATGTGAAACGCGTGCAGCTGGCGCAGCCTCCCCTCTCCCTCTCCTCCCTTTCCCTACCTCCCTCCCTGTCCTGCCCTCCCCTCTCCCCATCCACCCTTAAGCGTGATGTGCAGCTTCATCCGAGCTTGCCAAGATTGCTGAGTGCTCCACCACTCTTCTGTCCGAATCTTTTCGGAGACCTGGGACATCGAGGGGCCTGCGGCCTATCCCGCCACCGTGCCTGAGTTGTGGATCGCTGGGACTACCTCTCGTGACTCTCTTGGGCCTCTTCTGGAGGCATTTCTCGTTTGGTGTTCGGGCCTCGCCGCGCAGCGGCAGTCGGCCTGGCCCGCGCCGCCGCGGCTGCCAGGCGTTGGCGCAGAGGAGGGTACTGGGAAAGGATGGGAGGATGAGGGATGTGTGGCATCAACTGGAGGCTGATGCCACTTGGAGATCGTCGACTACATTTCGAGAAAGAAGAGACGGAGGGGGGCGGCCGCCACCCCCAGCTGGTGGCACTGGAGGGGGGTGAGCGCCCGCCCTTGCTGGTGATGGCGTGTGGTAGTCTCTTTCTTCTTTCATGAGCATTACAAGTCGATGGAAGCCCGAGGCAGAACTATATCGGATCCATTTTGAGTTGCGCATTGTGCGGCCACTTCACTACATTTTTTGCAAAAAAAAAAACCCTTAGCCTCAATACTTCATCTCTCCCATATCCTCATTTAATACTTTTATCCCCCATCCCTGTATATCCCATCGCAATCCCCAATATCCCCCCTCACCTCCCATCCCACCTACGCCTGCCCCTTATTCCCCCCCCAGCCAAACCCCCATCCTCATCCCAGCGCGCGAGCTGAAAGCTTGCGAGGAAAAGGCAGACGACGACGAGGATAAGGCCGTCCGCAGGGGGTCGCTACTCCTGGGTCCCTCCTGGGTCCTCTCGCGGAGTACGTTCCGATAAGAAGTTCGAGCCGAATCCAGCCGCGGCGACGAGGGTTCTCCGGGCTCTCCAGGATGAGCAGCGGCATGCCATGCCGCGAGACCCTTGGGTGAATGAGAAGGCAGGGCGCGCGCTGACGATAAGTCCGAGGCGTGGCCAGCCGTGGCGAAGAGGGCTCTCCAACGATATGCCATGCGGCTGCTCTCATGCTGCAGGATCACTAGAGAGTCTAGAGAGGAGAAGGCGGATGATGATGTGTTTTTCATGATCTAAGACCTACTGCAGCTCGAATCATAGCTCTTCATCCCTCATTCACAAAACCTCCTATACACACACAAAATAAACCTTCACTACCCCTCCTTCCTCTTTCACTAACATTATCACTCCTCCCTACAACTCCTCTTCCTAACCCTCCCCCATCGTTTCCCTCCTATCTATCCCATTACCAATCGATTCCTCCACCCCCCCTACCGTCCTCCCTCATCGCGTGTTTCCGCCACATCAGAGAAGGAGGACGACAGCATACTCCAAACAGCCCTATAATCGCGATGAGCTGAGAGAGTCTAAGAGCAGCAATTCATAAAATGGGCAAGGTATAAAGCTGACCAGGCTTTGCTGGTATCATCATGCATCGAGCGTAGCAGCAGCGTAGCGAGGTGAGAGCTGAGCTGGGATGCGAGGCCGAAGCTGTGCCGCGACGCCCCCCCCTCCCGGGTCCCGGGTCGGCCTTCGAGGAGCCCCGTCGTCGCCGCGGGCGGGCGCGGCTCGGAATATTGATGAGTTAGTTTGGCCTCGGAGTGGTCAAGGGACCGATCGTGAATCGTGCTCAAGCCATTTTGGTTCGGTGGCGCAGGGTGTATTGCCATCCATGTGGCTGTGTGGATGTTTACTCAGCAATGTCATACCTCGCACGGCGGATGTATTTCATGTCCCGGGTGTGCGGCGTCAGGAAGTACAATGACACCTTGGCAATGTCAGTGGACGGCCTGTGCCGATTCCTCAACCAGTTGACCACCGAGGGGGTGGTCGATGGCACCGCGGTATGGAACCCTTCTCGGCGGGGGGGGAGCACGGGGTATATGAGTGGCGGCGCGTCGTAGACTCAGTATTTCTCCTCCCTCCGCCTCGCCCCCTCTTCTCCCATCTCCCGTCCTCCTCCCATCCTCGTTTCTCCCACCTCCCCCTTTCTAGCATCCCTCGCGCCTCTCTCCCGCCCGCGTCGGTTGGAGAGAGGGGGGGCTGCAGCGCGCTGCCTACGGCGTGCTGGCCCCGGGCTTGCACTCGCTCGCCCACGTGGACGCCTTGCTGGCGGCTGGGCGGAATCCCGTGGCGATTGCATCGTTCAAGGAGGCGCCCTTGGGGCCCTTTCTCTCTCTCACTCACTCACTCACTCACTCACTCACTCTCTCTCTAACTCTCTCTCTGTCTCTCTCTCTCTCTATCTTTATCTCACTGCCTCTCTCTCCCTCTCCCTTACTTTCTATATCTCGTTTCCCTCTCCTCATCGCATCGCACTCTATACCTCGCTCGCCTCGTTTCGACGCGGCCGCAGGCGACTGCATGGCTTCAGCGCGAGTTGGGCGTCGTGGTCCCGGAGCCCTTGCCGCCGCCGCCAGCAGCGCCGCCGCCGCCCCCGCGGCCCCCAGCGCCAGCAGGCGCGTGGCGACCGATTCACCCCCAAGGATCGAGGATCGAGGATCGGACGTCGTCGTCGGCCCGTCGGCGGCTCGGGAGGGCGCGGACGTTTTGATTCGCGGAGGTCCTTGGCTGGCAATTTGTCGGGCCTCGGGAGGCCCCAGGCCCCAAGCCTCAGGCGGCTTCCCGCGGAG